TAATTAACCATGATGACAATTAAAAATGAAATAAAATATGTAAACTAAAAGCTATATATAAGAGGAATGCTATGAAAAGTCCTTGTACTACTCTCTTGTCTAGTCCATCTCCTCAGAGATGTCAGTGGTTTCTTATGTCCTTCCAGAAATTTTATGTATATGTGTATATGTTATTTAGATATATAATAATATAAATTATACACTAATTAACATTTATTGTATGTTAACATATTTAATATATATTGAATAATATAAATAAATATACACACTTCACTATATCTTGCTATTTTTTTCACTTAACATCAATCCATATATACCTACTTTATTCTTTTTAATACTGGTATAGTATTACATTTTATGGATATGCCATAATTCTTTATCCAGTACCCCACAGGCTGGATAAAGATGTTTGAGTTCTTTCTACTCTTTTCCTGTTACAAAAAAAACACTGCAGTGAATGCTGTTGTACGGATCTAAAATTCCTTATCTACAATTCCAAAGCATGAACATCTTAGAAAACAAAGTCTTTTCAAATTTTTGGCACAGACTAATCTGGATATAGTCTTTATTTATATATTGTTGTTGGTGGTGTTGTGTGCCATGGAGCTGATTCTGACTCAGTAGCGACCCTGTATGAAAGAGTAGTACTGCCCCATAGAGTTTCCTAGGCTGTAATCTTTATGGGAGCAGATTGCCAGGTCTTTCTCCCTCGGAGCCGCTGGGTGGGTTCCAACAGCTGACCTTTTGGTTAGCAACTAAGTGCTTTAACCATTTCGCCACCAAGTTCCTTCATGTATACTACTTAATGCAAATTCATGTTTTTTACTGCCATATTACAGATTTTGATTACAGAGTGTTATCCCACCTCTCACTAGAGTTGTTACAAAACACACTGTATTATATGCACCATTTACTCTTTCTAAAATCCAAACAATTTTAAATTCTGAAGCACATTAGCACTAAGGGTTTTCGATAGGTAATGGTGGTTGTTATGGATAGAACCGTGTCCCTCTAAAATGTGTGTCAACTTGGCTAATCCATGATTCCCACCATTTTGTCACTGATGTTATTTTCCTGTGTG